AGAATATCAATCCTAGATTTAAAGATCTGCGGAGATGTGTCACCATTGTAACTTCTGCTCAAGCTGGTTGACTCAAACTCCGTTAATAAGAAGAATATCAATCCTAGATTTAAAGATCTGCGGAGATGTGTCACCATTGTAACTTCTGCTCAAGCTGGTTGACTCAAACTCCGTTAATAAGAAGAATATCAATCCTAGATTTAAAGATCTGCGGAGATGTGTCACCATTGTAACTTCTGCTCAAGCTGGTTGACTCAAACTCCGTTAATAAGAAGAATATCAATCCTAGATTTAAAGATCTGCGGAGATGTGTCACCATTGTAACTTCTGCTCAAGCTGGTTGACTCAAACTCCGTTAATAAGAAGAATATCAATCCTAGATTTAAAGATCTGCGGAGATGTGTCACCATTGTAACTTCTGCTCAAGCTGGTTGACTCAAACTCCGTTAATAAGAAGAATATCAATCCTAGATTTAAAGATCTGCGGAGATGTGTCACCATTGTAACTTCTGCTCAAGCTGGTTGACTCAAACTCCGTTAATAAGAAGAATATCAATCCTAGATTTAAAGATCTGCGGAGATGTGTCACCATTGTAACTTCTGCTCAAGCTGGTTGACTCAAACTCCGTTAATAAGAAGAATATCAATCCTAGATGTAAAGATCTGCGGAGATGTGTCACCATTGTAACTTCTGCTCAAGCTGGTTGACTCAAACTCCGTTAATAAGAAGAATATCAATCCTAGATTTAAAGATCTGCGGAGATGTGTCACCATTGTAACTTCTGCTCAAGCTGGTTGACTCAAACTCCGTTAATAAGAAGAATATCAATCCTAGATTTAAAGATCTGCGGAGATGTGTCACCATTGTAACTTCTGCTCAAGCTGGTTGACTCAAACTCCGTTAATAAGAAGAATATCAATCCTAGATTTAAAGATCTGCGGAGATGTGTCATAATATTTCCTGACGATAATTTTTTTTTAGAAATAATAATTAAATCAGATTAAATAATTTGATCGCCATTCCTGATTAGGTTATTGAATACAAATCAAAGTCTTCAAATCGGTTATTGTACAATCCACCTTTTTTTTTTTTTTAAACCAGCAAATTTTTTAATTAAAAAAAAAATTAAAGTGATATAAGGACCATTGGAAAAAAGAAAATTATTTAAAAATCCTACTATATTATCAGACATTATTGGCAAATCTATGGTACGCGTGTCAAAGTGGGAACGCTATGCACCCTCTGTTGGCACGCGAGCCACGTCGCCCAGACAACTAAACTAGAAACTCAGTATTCAGGCTTAATTGCAGCGTTGGTGGGTTGCAATAAATAAGTGGGGTTTGTGGGGACGTGTATCCAGAGGCGTAGCGTGGTGGGGGCAGGGGGGGACATATGTCCCCGGACGCCAGCTAGTTAGGGGTGCCAAAATGTGCTTTGATATTATTTTATGGATGAAAATAATGGGTTTGATAGTGGAATAAAAGAAAAAGGGGTGCTAAAATGGATCTTGTCCCCGGGCGCGAATCTTGTCCCCGGGCGCCAAACACCCTCGCTACGCCACTGGGTGTATCACTTGGCTGGAATAGGCTGTGGGGGTGGGAATGTGGGGTGGGGCTTAAGTAATAGACCATCACCATACACCTCAATGTTGAGGGTGGAGACCCAAAAGTAAAAACAGTTTTTACTTCTAAACCCAGTGACAGTGTTAATGGACAAGCGGTCGGAAGATAGCTTTGACTCGTGCCCATTGAGGCGAGCCTTAACAGCTTCTTTAAAAGTCCAACCCACTTCAGATCAGGGTGGGTTTAAAAGGGTGGTGTTGTTTCCAGTCTTAACACAGACAACATGACAGCACAGCCATGTCGAATTGGGTCGTTCTGCATACCATTTCTATATATGTGTATGACACATCGCTGGGGGGATCTATATTTTGGACTTTCATTCAATGCTACCAATACACACGCCGACAAAAACACACATATCAACCCTTCAGGTGCAGGCATATTAAAAAAACCACGTACAATCTCAAATGTACTGTATACACATATTCGAATTTATAGCAAACAAGTGTTGATTTTTTATAACAGACTTTAGTAAAGCATATAATACGGGATTAGGAAAAAAAAGGGGGAACTACGTTTTCGAAAATATCAATCCGCCCGGATGTATTCTGCACGGCCCTGTTCACCGTCTAGGGTCTCCTTAAACTTTTCACTTTTGTACCCCTTAAATTCAAAGATGTTCGTTGAAGTTTCCTCTGGTTACCGGAAATTTGATTGAACGTAAATTTGGTCTAATCTCTATTTCAGTTCACACGTTAAAGTTTTCGTTAAATTTCTTTTTGAACGCACTATACTATATAGTAAAACAAAATAACGCGTTTAAAAAAAAAACAATTGACTCAAAATTTTAACGTGTGAACTAAAAAAAAAAAAAAAAAAAAAAAAAAAAATTAAAAAAAAAAAAAAATAACAAAAAATTTTAAAGTTGAAAAAAAAAAAAAAAAAAAAAAAAAAAAAAAAAATTCGAGCAAATTTACGTTCGATCAAATTTCCGTGGATCAATTTTCCGTCGACGAAATTCTTTCGATCAAATTTCCGGATACGGTTAACGCCGCATCGCAAGATTGAGCCCCTTTAATATAGCGAAGGCTCTGCCTGGGTGTATTCCCTCAAATTCATTTTTATTAGGTGTCAGTCCCATGTGCTCAAGGTGTGTGCTTCACCAAAGTCTTTGAGATGTCTACAGCGGCCCAAACCACTAAATTAGACTTTTTGAGGCCCACTGGTCTACCACCCCCCTCCCACTGAAGTGATGTCACTTTAAAGTCAACTAGGGGGGTTCCCAACAATCTCGTTTCTGTGAATGGTATCGTTTATCTCCCCTTGATCCCGAGTATTAAATTTGACGAAATATCAAGTTATATTGCTAAGAGATAATTTTTTTCCCCCCTTTAATCAATTACGCTTTTGCTCCCGAGTTTTCCTTCTGACTTGGTGACAAAATCTTCGGACGGTTCTTTGACCCACTTCCCGTCAACCTATCGAGCTGAAACTTTGCACATAGACTCGTTGCAAATTCTACACATTCTTTCAAAATGTTAGCCCCACCCAAACCTGCAAAAATCAGTTTTTTTTCTCCTGATTTTCAAGGGGATGATGAAGTAACTGTGATGCAAAGGTTTTCATGAATTAAATTCCCGATCACTTCGCTAAATAAGATTCTTAAAAATATCGCAAGTGCTTTTGGTGCGTAATATTTTCTTTTGTTTTTCTGAAATTGTTGTTGTAAAAAAAAATACTATGTAAAAGAAGGTGGGCATTAGAATTTTAATATAAAATAAAATAAGAAAAATTAATTTTTTAATTACTTTTGAAATGAATATATTTGTTAAGCTGTTCCTTGAATAAGTACAACGCTCCTTTAGGCTCATGTTACTGTGAGGCCCGGGACCAACTGAACATTTTAACCCAATGTGATAGGACAGGTCATTTTTAATACCAGGGCTTAATTGGTGCAGTTGTTTTTGTTTTTTTTTAAACCGGGTCCGATTATTTTGAAAAAAATACCCAATGGGTCCATGTATTACAAAGAATGGTAACTTTTCATTTTCTAAAAATGTTTGCCAGCCCTTAAACAGTAGTCCTAAAGTCATGCACCCTATCCATGGCTCTTTATTGATTAATATAATAATCGCCTCCCACTATAGAAAAAATCATCAAAGGAACGGATTTCAGACGTCACTCATAAAACTTCGCTGCGTGACAATCTTTTTTCCCCCACTCAGTACTATTAACATAAAACATGTGGAGTTGGGGAGGGACCAGTTGTGGAGAGGAAGCAGAACGAACGAGAGGCCATATATATATTTAATTTTAAAAATGGAAACTTAAAATGCATGTTAGAGTCTATGATTAAGCCTTCCTTACTGTATGCATAGGATTAATGACACCCAGGGCGTGACATCATCTATTCGACCTACCCCTCCCTTTTCTACGAACAAAATGTGCATACAAATGAAAATGGCACCCCGAATTATAATATAAAAAGAGAAAAAAAAAAAAAAAGCCACTCATCATGGACCACCCCTTCCTACACCACTGATCCTAATGATAATGAATATTGACCACTACTGTAAACAGTGAGAACCTACCCCCCCCTTTTCTACGAACAAAATGTGCAAACAAAAGAAAATGGCACCCCGAATTATAAAAAAAAAAGAGAAAAAAAAAAAAAAAGCCACTCATCATGGACCACCCCTTCCTACACCACTGATCCTAATGATAATGAATATTGACCACTACTGTAAACAGTGAGTAAGTAAAAAAAAAAAATGTGATTTTGTTTCGAAATTTAATTTGAAGGTTAATTAAACATTATAAAATATCCATTTTCAGCCTACGATGGCCTATCAAATATTATAGTCTTGCTATTAGTATTAGTTAAAAGACCATATAATAATAATTAGACTCCGTCGATATTAGTTAGTTTATTTCCAAAAGACGACGGTCTTGTTGCCTATCTGCATCTCTACTTCTACGAGAGGCTTGTGAAGCCGACTCAAAAAATGATAGTTAAGTTGTTCCTCCAGCATTTTAAGAAAAGAAGATTAACATGTTATACTGATTCTTATAAAAAAAGCACCATCTGCTTTTCAATAAAACTATTTATAATTTATCATATTATATTTAAGTTTAAAATAGAATAATTAATCAATCTTTTCAATTAATTTGGATAATGCAAAATTAATTATTTTTAACCCCCCCCCCCCCCCCCGGCCAAACGCACTCCGACTAAAAATGCGATATTTATTTAGTATATCACATTAAATTCTGTCAATAAAAGTTTCGAAAGTGATAGTGATATTAACATAAATAAATAAAATATATTATGATTTGAATATTAAACTAATATTTTCATTTAAAAATGAAGCATATAGTTTAAACAAAAAATATAATTTAAGTGCGTAAGTAAATATTTTAGGGCTCAGCCTTAAAAGCTTGCATACCAACGTAAAAATGGCGGACGAGGCGCTAGCCCGAGCTGGACTACATTTTGATGAATTAAATAAAATACGAGTTTTAGAGCCTGAGGTCGCACAACAAACTAAGGAACTAAAAGAAGAATGTAAAGAATTTGTTGATAGTAAGTATACTTGGGAATATTAATAAAGTATAGCCATAGCCATAGGCATAGGTCTACTACAAGTTTGAGTCGTCTTTGACATTCAATCCAATATTATGATACAATTATTAAACAATTCAATGACATTCCAATTCAATATAAATATTGTCTGATTGCAATAAAAAAGACATAATTTTAAAGGCCTGGCAATAAGCCTTATATATATACATCAATTTCACCTTTCTAGCTGTTATAGAAGTGGAGTTATGATTTAAAAAAAATAAACTAGGGACTACAAAAGTAGATACTTGGATAAAACAAGGGAGACTACTACTTTTTTTGTATCGGAAATGGGCGTCGGCGCCGAAAAATCCGAGTTTTTAATTTTCCGATGTGTGTGTCTATTTATTATTAAATTAGTTATTTGGACATATATTTGAGTTCCGTTTCCGGCCTTATAATTTGGAAGACATCTTGGCCTACATTTCCATCCAACTATTTTGCTTTTTCAATCGACCTTTATTTTGGAAATCTTTGGTATATATAAGGCATCTTCGCATGCAAAATTTTTTGTGAAATATAAAATACAGGTCTTTCATATTAAATCGTGTAAGGCATCAGATATTGATATATATCTGTGCCAATTCTCATTGATGTAGGTCGTGTCCCACGTTCGCTACGCTTCTCCCAGTGACCCATATCACCATAAGGGGCCTCAGCCTTATTTCGACATGGCGTGGGCCACGCCCCCTTTTTAATGGCGGAAGTTGCCGATACTTAAGAAATATTTAATTATTACCACTATATACATCAAAATATTTGATAACTTGTGTTTCAGAATGCATTTTGAAGACATTTAAACTGGAATGTTTTAATTTGAGCTTTAAAAACTCTGTAGAGTCCATATTATAAATGATCAGAAATTTCCGTGTGCAACACGTTGTCATTGGCAACCATTCACAGCCACTTGCATAACGGCTATATCGTAGTACTATCTCAGAGTTTCATTCATAAGTGTTTGCCGTGTGCAAAAACTATTAAACCATTGGTCAGGGAAAGCTTTAATTAATTATTCATGTGCCAAAGTTGAAAGTTTAAAATAAATCGACCCTAAACAGTATTTTAGTGATAAGGGAATGCCTTAGCCTTATATAAACTATATAGTCATTGCGCATGACGCGATCGGCGGAATGAGGTCACAGAATGTGGAGATGCAGTCCATGTTAAAAAAGGACAAACCAAGTCGTACTTTAAAAATTCATAACTTTAAAACTACAACAGCTAAAAATATGATTTTGGTGTTATAATTCTGTTTAAAATTAGCTCTATTCAACTGTGCCATTGGTTTATTTTAAAAAAAATGTTTACATTTTTGACCAAAGTATCTAACAAAAGTCTCATGCGCATGTGGTCTGCACATACCGAAAAATTACGCAAAACTTTTGCGGCCATTTTTACATTCGTCTCGGTGATTATCTTGTTTTTTTGTATTTTACGTCACAGTTTGCTAATGATAGTATTAAAATTATCGGTGACGTAGAGCGTATATTTTTCCAAACATGCCTACCATATTTTAGATACTTTGGTCAAAAATTTAAACATTTTGTAAAAATAAACCAATGGCATAGTTGAATAGAGCTAAATTTTTACAGAATTATAACACCAAAATTATATTTTTAGCTGTTGTAGTTTTAAAGTTATGAATTTTTAAAGTACGACTTGGTTTGTCCTTTTTTAACATGGACTGCATCTCCACATTCTGTGACCTCATTCCGCCGATCGCGTCATGCGCAATGACTATATAGTTTATATAAGGCTAAGGCATTCCCTTATCACTAAAATACTGTTTAGGGTCGATTTATTTTAAACTTTCAACTTTGGCACATGAATAATTAATTAAAGCTTTCCCTGACCAATGGTTTAATAGTTTTTGCACACGGCAAACACTTATGAATGAAACTCTGAGATAGTACTACGATATAGCCGTTATGCAAGTGGCTGTGAATGGTTGCCAATGACAACGTGTTGCACACGGAAATTTCTGATCATTTATAATATGGACTCTACAGGGTTTTTAAAGCTCAAATTAAAACATTCCAGTTTAAATGTCTTCAAAATGCATTCTGAAACACAAGTTATCAAATATTTTGATGTATATAGTGGTAATAATTAAATATTTCTTAAGTATCGGCAACTTCCGCCATTAAAAAGGGGGCGTGGCCCACGCCATGTCGAAATAAGGCGGAGCCCCCTTATGGTGATATGGGTCACTGGGAGAAGCGTAGCGAACGTGGGACACGACCTACATCAATGAGAATTGGCACAGATATATATCAATATCTGATGCCTTACACGATTTAATATGAAAGACATGTTCCTTTTATTTCACAAAAAATTTTGTATTTGAAGATGCCTTATATATACCAAAGATTTTCAAAATGAAGTTCGATTGAAAAAAGCAAAATAGTTGGATGGAAATGTAGGCCAAGATGTCTTCCAAATTATAAGGCCGGAAACGGAACTCAAATATATGTCCAAATAACTAATTTAATAATAAATAGACACACACATCGGAAAATTAAAAACTCGGATTTTTCGGCGCCGACGCCCATTTCCGATACAAAAAAATTAGTAGTCTCCCTTGTTTTATCGAAGTATCTACATATTTGCAGCATTTAGATTCTGTGACCAGTAATGCATTTAATTGTTTCCATCGGTATGTGTTAATTGCTTATTATTTTTTAAATGTAAAATTAAAACACAGTGGTTTAGCTCCATACTGCTTTATTCATTCCCAAAGGTTAATAACTTGACTTCATTAATAATAGCAATAAGGAACAAAAGTAATGCCTTTCGAACTGAAAGGTGTAAGAAAATAAAATTGTTAGTAGTCACCCTCCCTCACAAACAAAATTGGATTGTCGGAAATGGTTATTGCTACCAATTTAATTTAAAGATATTTTTTATTATAGTTCATCTTTAATAATCTGTGGAAGACTAACCAGTTAATAAAGGGCAAACCATTTTGCAAAATTATTAGAAATTAATACAACCTCATAAATTAAATAATTTTAAATAATTGTAGGTCGGGTAGCCTAGTGAATTTCGGACTTGTTTTGTTCCTTGAATTATATATATAATATATATAAAATAAAAGCATTTGCCACTACTATTACAAATATACTATTATCAAATAAATTCCAATAAAATATGGTTCAGCACAAGGTACACTAAAAGTCTAAAATTAAAAATTTTTCTCACATATTTGTGTGAAAATTGCGTCACTGTGACTTGTTTAAAATTAAATAATATATGAATTTTTCTATATTAAGTTTATTAAAATAAGAATAAGACTCAACATTATCATGGTAATTATATTTTTACTAGGACTTAGGCATAAGAAAACTGTAAACATTTATATCAACAAATATTTAATATATTTCTAATTAAACAAAAAAGAAATAAATTTTAATAAACACATCACTTGAATAATATTAAAAAGAAACTAAAATTTGTATAGATAAAGAATTATGATTAGTTGTTAATGTTAGTTAGGCTTCTTTTGGGGGCAAGAGAAAATTGTATCTTTCAGTTGCAAAACTTAGAATTCCTTCCTATTAAATAAGGGGGAACGTTTGGATGCAGATAGAGGTGACAAAGTTTATGAAAGAGAGATTTGTGGGATTCATCAACAAGACAAAGAAGTCACTGTAGCTCATTCTACCCAGAAAATGACAGGCAGAAGATCCTCATTACCTTTTAAAATTTAATTACATATCCCTGTATGCTTGTATTAATTTTATGGGTGATTATAGTAAATTTTTATTTATAATCTCATGCATTTAATTTTATTTTTAAAAAGACTTCTACTTAACTTTTATAAATATAAAAATAGATTTTAAATTTTACTGCAGAATATAATTCATTAAAATATAAATTAATATAAAGAAACTTGTTTTTTTTTTGTTCTTTTAAAATCATGATTTTAAAAATTTTTCTATTGTAAGGAAGCCTTGCTTACTCTCTTTGCTAACCTTCATCTATATCTGGCATTCACTAAAGAACAACTCAGGCGATAACATTTGATGATTATAATCTTGTTCTTTATTAGGCTGACGCTTCGCTTAGACTTTCTCTCATCTCACAACTCTGACTGCCCTCTTGTCATACCGTCCGAGTTCTCCCTGCTATCTGCTTCTCTGTCCGGCCGCGCTCCTCCTGTTCCGTCCAGAGGTCCCTGTTTATAGGTCCCTGGGTCTGTACTTGCGCCGCCCCTTTTCTCAGTCGGGTAGCGTCGTCCCAGGGAAATGCCCCTGGTCAGATTGCCAGTACCGCCAAAGGCGCTTTATCCTTCGATCGTGATCCCTGGTCAGATGGCGCCGGCTGTACCTGGTCAGATGGCACCGGCTGTACCTGGTCAGACGGCCGGTAACCCTGGTCAGCCGCCCCCGGCGCCGTCGTGATCCGAACTCTCCACAATCCCCGGCGCCGTCGCGGTCCGATACGCCCCCGGCGCCGTCGTGGTCCGAACTCTCCACAATACCCCCATCTTACAAAACCAATGTCGTCCCGACATTACTAACACCCTCGCTGCAGTTACATAACTGATCTCTAAATGGCTTAAAGTGCCTCGGACCTTCAGCCTTCATTTAAAAAAACAGCTCACAGTAAGGCACGTGTGTCATCACATTGAGGTTCTAGTGCACCTCCCTTCGTTTAAATCCTACGCGTACCTTGAATACCACAATTGAGTTATCGGGTCACAGTCAGAGCGCTTCTTACACTCCCACAATCAGACAATTTTGACCGAACATCGTTCAGCTAACAATGACCAATTAATAATACAACATTTAGAGAATTAAGTTGAAAATAAAATAAACAGCAAATCAAGTATCACAATAAAAACATGTTAAGCCTATCAGAACCGAATAGAATTCCAATGCAAGAAAATAATAATTGGTTACAAAAACACCTTTAACTCAAACCCTTCATTTCAAGCTTCAACATAAAAAAAATTATACAATTTCACTACAAACAAAAATCTATAATTTTGCATCATGCATCAAATTCTACAGAAATCGTTAAGCAATAATGTCGTTTATCCAACCTAATTTTCAAGTATCTCTACACAAAATATTAGAGCACATTATTTCATTTACTTTTATGTCTATCTAAAAGATTGTCATGTCATAAAATAATTAACACATTCAATATTTGAGAAAACTGTCAGTGCCCCATGCCCATTTTCCTGGAGAACTTGTTGAAGCCCTCAATTTGCTCCAATCTGGCGGGTCAGGGTCATGTCTCAGCTTACAGTGGCGTTCATGATGAATAATTTTGAACGTCATCCGTCCCTCTCCTTCTACCTCAAACAAGTTATGCCGTAGTTTTCGGCTAATGACCAGTGGACCAACAACGTCACCCACTTTGAAAGGGCGCTTTACTTCTCTAGCGTCGGGGTCATTTTTCTGTCTTTTCACTGTTCTATCTAGAATTATCTTCCTCTTCTTCCAGTTAGAATTGACCTCTGCACACAACTGGACTGATTTACTACCCACATTCTTGGGCTTCGTCGACGGCGCGGTCATCTCAGTACGGGGTAACCCGTTAGTCTGGACAGCAGCCATGCGTGTCCGCTGGCTTTTACCAGGACGCTGTCTTTTGTTGAGGGCAGTGACCATGTTTACTCTCACACTGGCTGGTGCTGGTAACTGGTTATTGTTAACACGTTTTGATGGGCTAGAACAATTCTTATCCTCTTTCGAATTTACCCTCAATTTAGCCGCAATGGGCACATTGTGACCGTCCAAATTCAGACCCGAGGTAACCGTCCTCCATAATGTCTGCCACATATACCGTCCAGGGATAAAATTTATCTCCAATCAATAATTTTACGTCACTCACCCCATATAGATTCATTGGTGCCCAGTAGCTGTCTGCAGCTTCACAGCTGAGAAATGAATCTTACGTCTCTGCCGTCGAGGAATTTCAAAAAATCTTTTCTCTGAAATAATGGTCACAGCCGCACCCGTGTCCATTTGAAATTCAGCCCTAACACCACACACTGTAACAGGTACAAACACAGCACTAGGACGAACGTCTCGACCATTCGATGAAATGTGATTCAATTTCAGCCGATCAGGAATTTCACCTCCTAAGCTCCTGTTCTGACAATTACAGGCAATGTGACCGATTCGATCACACTCGAAGCACCTAGGTTCCACCTGCCGATAACCTCCATCTTCTCGAGCTGACTGGTTAACTGCCCCTCTCTGTGAGGTGATGAATGCTCTAAAGTCCTCTCTCAGGCCGCTGATCTCTCTGGCCAAATTGTCAGTAGCTATTGATGCTACTTGCTTTCCCGGCAGACAAAAATTGTCCCTCAGATTTAATAACTGCTCCAGGGCTGCTCTCGCCTTGTCCACTGTTGGAGGGACGGCCATAGTGCCAACATGGGTGACCATTGAAGGATCCCGTAGCCCACGTAAAAACTGCCTAAAACCAATGGCATCTCGTGTGGCCTGGTCTGCCATTGGAAAGCTTTTCCCTACTAGTTTCTTGATGTCGGTAGCGTACTCAGCACTGGTTTCTGTTCTTAGGAACGCACGTTTTTCCAACAGATTCTGGAAGAAAGCTGGTGTTCTATGATCCTGGAACCGATTGGCGAGGGCATCTTTAAGTTTCTCGTACGTCTCTCGCTCTTCTTCACTTAATTCACTGTAAGCGAATTCAGCCGCCGAATCCTTCAAAGCAAACCCCAAATAAAGGAGTTTCTCTTTTTTGAAGATTTTTGCAGCTGTTTCAAACTGCACGATAAAAGTGTGCCATGTAGAGGTTCCACTGTACGTTGGAAGGTTGTTTAAATACTGGCAAGTCATTGTGCTTGCCATAGATTTTCCACACCTTGTCTCAGTCCGGCTACCCAGAAAAAATATTGTCTCTTCAGAGTCGTTGCAAGATTAACATCCCACCGCTGCCACCATTGTAAGGAAACCTTGCTTACTCTCTTTGCTAACCTTCATCTATATCTGGCATTCACTAAAGAACAACTCAGGCGATAACATTTGATGATTATAATCTTGTTCTTTATTAGGCTGACGCTTCGCTTAGACTTTCTCTCATCTCACAACTCTGACTGCCCTCTTGTCATACCGTCTGAGTTCTCCCTGCTATCTGCTTCTCTGTCCGGCCGCGCTCCTCCTGTTCCGTCCAGAGGTCCCTATTTATAGGTCCCTGGGTCTGTACTTGCGCCGCCCCTTTTCTCAGTCGGGTAACGTCGTCCCAGGGAAATGCCCTGGTCAGATTGCCGGTACCGCCACAGGCGCTTTATCCTTCGATCGTGATCCCTGGTCAGATGGCGCCGGCTGTACCTGGTCAGACGGCCGGTAATCGGTGATCCGAACTCTCCACAATCCCCAGCGCCGTCGTGGTCCGATACGCCCCCGGCGCCGTCGTGGTCCGAACTCTCCACACTATTCATGTTTTTTCTAAGAAACACTCAAATAAATTATCCAAATACAAAGACTTAATGTTATAAAAAAGTTTTGTTGCTATTTGTGTTGTATATTGCAGAATGTCTCCTGAAAATTTGGTGGCATTATCTTTTAAATAAAAAAGTTGTAGACAAAATAAAGCAGAAATGTGAAAAGTTGGTCAAATAGTTGTTTCCGTTAAATACAAAGATAAATAAAAGGGGTTAAAAAATTCTCCAAAAAACTCATAACTTCATTTCTATAAAAGATAGAAAGATGAATTTGGTGTTTTTGCAAAGCTTGTAGCTTGTCCTTTAAAATGATGTATCATTTGTGGCAATTGGACAATGTTTAAAATTTAAACCCCCTAATTTACATCTTGTGAAAACTATGACAGACATTCCAAATTACTGCCTTATTTTGACATAAATATTTTATTTTCAAAAATAATGCTACCAAATTTTTAAAAGACATTTTCAATGCAGTAAATAGGTGCTTTGACAGAAATTTAAAATGTTATTCTATTGCCATGAAGGATAATCATTTTAAAGGGCTAGTTATAAACTTTATAAAAACATCAATTTTATCTTCCTATCGTTTATAGCAGTGGATTTATTAATTTTTCAGTGAATTTTTTACCCCCCTTCTTTATCTTTTTATTTAACTGTGTGACCGACTTCCATATTTTCTCCAAACTTTTGATTTCAAAAGATAATGCTACCAAATTTTCAGCAGTAACATTCTATAGAACACAATAAATAACAAAACTTTTACATAACATCAAGATTTTGTATAATTTTATTTGAGATTATGTTAAGAAAAGCGTGAACAGAAAATTTGGAAAAATTATCATTTATAAAGAAAAAACCAAAAAACCAAACATGTTTATTAACTTTTAACTAAAAAGGTAAAAAAAAAGGTAAGTACTCTTTTTTTTCATGCATGTAATTATAAATAAAAATAACTCAAATAAAATCACTCATAAGACTAATCCAAGCATACCCATTCGTGATTTAAAGGTAATGAGGATGCTCTGCCTATCATTTTATGGGTAGACTGCTTTACAGGCTTCTTTGTCTCGTTTATGAATCCCGCAATCTCTCCTTCATCAACTTTGTCTTTGTGATCTACATCCAAACACCCCTCATTGGCGATGGAAGGATTTCCGAGGTCTGCAACAGAAAATTAATATGTTCCCTTGCACTCGAAAGAAGTCTAGAAATAACTTATAGTCTAATCTTAATACTGAATCTACACAATCTGTTTTCTTTTTTCTTTTCAATATTATTCAAGTTTTGTGTTAATTAAAAATTCTTATTTTGTGTATTTGATTAGAAATATTAAATATTTGCTATGTATCTTTTTTTTTCTATGTCCTAATAAAATATAATTACTATGAAAATGATGAAGTTGAGTCTTATTTATTTATTTATAGTCACTTATAGCCATCCATAAATAGGATAATAATAACTTTTCCTACTACTTAGACTTAGACCTATATTCTATATGTAGCATTAACATGTAGGCTGGTAATTTTAGTAATAATATTCTCTTTTTTTAAATAATAATATTTAAACAATGTCCCTAATGATTGAATAACAATTATTGTTACTACTATTATTCAAACTATTACCATATTGATTTAATAAAGAAGAATGGATAAATGCATTGGCATACACTAACAAAATTTATTAATGTAAATTGATACTAATACTATGACTATAGGTATTATTATATAATTATTTATGTAAATTAAGGGACAAAACTAGTCTGAAATTCACCCAACTAAACAAAGTAAAATTTATGAAAACACTTTAACGTATTGGGTTGTATTAATTTTTAAAAATAAAGAAAAACTGTTTCCCATTCATTAACTGATTAGTGTTCCAGGTATTTTTAAAGATAAACAATAATGAAAATATATTTGTACCTTAATATTTAAATGATAAGAAGAGCCATTTCCAACAACCCAAATTTTTGTTGTCAGGGGGAATAACTGATGATAACTGGCATTTTCATTTACACAGGAAAATTCATAACTTTTAGGGGGAATTGCTATTATTAACGAAATAAAGTTCTTAACAACTGGGAATAAATGAAGAAGTCCCGTATTATACGGCTAACTATTTGCTATTTTTACAATAAAGAGTAATAGGCTATTATGTACATACCAATGCATAAGAATACATACGTTGCCAGTCCCAAGATACACCGTGCTGTAAAAATAATATCACCATGTTTGGAAAAATATGCCCTCTACGTCACTAATGACGAAACAATTTATTATTAGAAAACTGTTATGTAATACGCAAAACAACCAAGTCCTCCCCGAGCCGAATGCAAAATGGCCACAACAGTTTTTGCGTCATTTTTCAGTATGTCCATACAGTGAGACTTTCGAATTACCTACAGTAACAAAAATACAATGAGCACCAACATTTTTACATGATATGACGACTTTATTTTCGATAATTTATTTTAAGGGTAGTTAAAAAATCCCGAAAATAACAAGTTGAAAAAATGATTACATTAAGACTATAAGCCAAATAAAAAAATAGGATAAGATTAATATTAAATAAGAGTTAGATGATACCAGTATGTGATTTAAATGTAATGTAACATTAATATTAATTAAGAGTTAGATGATACCAGTATGTGATTTAAATGTAATGTAAGATTAATATTAAATAAGAGTTAGATGATACCAGTATGTGATTTAAATGTAATGAGGATGTTGTCCCTGTTTTCTGGGTAACTGCTCTATAGACTTCATCTTGTTGATGAAACCCACAATCTCTCGTTTATAATTATACATTTTGCCTGCGCCATTTAATTTCCAAATATGCCTAATTACCAATGGAAGGAATTCAGAGTTTTGCAACAGATATTTAAATTTATCTCATGTACCTGAAAGAAGCCTAGAAGTAACATCTAATCGTAATCCTGAATTTGCACAATTTCTAGTTTCTTTTTAATTATATTCACTATTATATAAGTTATGTGTTTATTAAAATGTATTTCCTTTTGTTTATTTTATTAAAATTGTGAATTATTTCTCGATGTATCCATTTTTCATATGCCCATATCCTAATACTAATATAAATATAATTACAATGATGTTGTTGAGTCTTATTTATTTCTTGACTGGCTAATTTTAAACAAGTTAATAGTCATAGTGTGTTGCAATTTTCTCAAAATTATAGATTAAGCTTAGAGGTTTACCAGGATACTTTATTTACTTTAGTGGAGTAATAATTAATTAATATTATTATTATTAGCAGAAGCACTGCTTTTTTTGTGTGTTATTATTCCATTATTATAATTAAATATCACTAATAACTAGGCCTAATCTTATAATTACATAAAAAAAACAATTATTTAGGGGCTTTCATAAAAATAATTTGGGGCCAACCCTAACACTAAAAATAAATTAATTAAAATCGGTTTAAGCTTTTGCTATTTATAAAAGTTTTAACGTCACATGGGAAATGGCGTCGGTGGGCCGTAGAGCCCCACACAGGCCAAATGCCGGGTTTCCCCACCACCAGACCATATGGGGGCACACTGGGATCCTCCCCCCTGGCCTGGGGGACGTCCGATTGACCGGAAACACTGCGTTTAAAGCGTTCGCGATCCATTCTCCCAAAGGGTCTAGGTGGGTTTGCTTCCTCTCCGGATGATTGGTGTTGCGTTACTGTCCCCCACCACCCATGGAGTCTTTCGGTTGGGACGAAACAGTGGCTTTCTCACGGCTGCGTAGCTAAAATCATCGGCATGGGTTTTAACCGCCAACCAGACCTCATATTCATTAACGGCAACAAGTAATCATGCTACGACTTTACAATTCCCATTGTGTTGGGAGTCATGCGTCGGCGTCAGGTTTTTTAGCTTGGGAGACTGACCTCTCTACTAGTCTGCCACGCCACAAAGAGGCAAAACCCTATGTGGACGCCCCCAAATTAAGTCGGAGACGCTCCTCTTTTAAAAATGGATTTAATATGATTTATAATAACTGATGAGTTTAATTATGATGTTTAAGGATGAGTTTAAGTATGATGTTTAAGGATGAGTTTAATTACGATGTTTAAGGATGAGTTTAATTACGATGTTTAAGGATGAGTTTAATTACGATGTTTAAGGATGAGTTTAATTACAATGTTTAAGGATGAGTTTAATTACAATGTTTAAGGATGAGTTTAATTACAATGTTTAGGGATGAGTTTAATTACAATGTTTAAGGATGAGTTTAATTATGATGTTTAAGGGTGAGTTTAATTATGATGTTTAAGGATGAGTTTAAGGATGAGTTTAAGTACGATGTTTACTGATGAGTTTAAGGATGGGGATATTCTTATTGAAAGCATTCAATCATAGTTATTTACTGACAATCATTTGTAGGGGCTGGCCATTTCTTTTTTTCTTACCATCTTGCTAACCACGTAAACTCATACTTACTGGTGGGATAGCTCCTTTCATTATTGTGGAATGATTATCAAATGAAATGTATTATAGTCAAAGCAGTGAAGTTGTACAAAATATGCAACACTACACAGTGGCAGTAAGCATAAAAAAATGTATTTAGCCATCTAGTACTTACCAGATGTTCCCTGACTAGCTGGGGGTAAATAAAAAATAACAACATGGTGCAATTGATGCGACTATCACAGAAAGATGATCCCAAAATACATCATTCATGAGGTATCAATGAAATTACCGAAAAAAATGACAATGACTTGACAGAAAAAAAAAACGTTTATGAATAGTGGTTTGTAAAAACGGGTTACATGTTTTTGTGTCATTTTTAGACATGCGAATGGATGTGTGAATGAATATCATAGTGCGTGGTGTAACAACTGATATTCACTGTTAATTTCCAGTTAAAAAGCACTGTTTCGTATCGTAGTAGTGATACATGGATCTAAATAGGTATTGATAAGGCAGAACTGGAGGAGGAGAGAAGACATCTTGAAATAGATATTAAGATGGCACTTGGAAGGGCTTGTTAAGGTGATTATTCTAATGCATGTGGATGTGTTGTGACTGTACTTCAAATAATCACCATTCTATTATCCTTTGATGTGAAATTTATTCTATATGGTGTGATGTGTTCATAAATACATGATAATATTTTGAACTGGACTTCTGCTGATATATGTAGTGTGAGTGAGACTGAGGTTGTCAAGTACGTAGAGTAACAGTAACGGTCATATTTACATTGATGTCAGGTCTCCAAAGGTTGCCTGATGATTTGATTTAACTTTGATGTAATCAGGTGATTTACCATATGTTGCACCCACTAATAAATCATTAAACAAAATTTAATTAACAATTTCATAAAAATTAAAATTGTTACTTACTAACTTACTTAGGGATCAATCTAAGATCTAATTTCGGATAATCCTAGATTACTAACCAGAGTAATCATTAATCAATAGTCTATTATTGGGGTGTTCTATTTGTATAGACCTGCAACTCTATTTATGCGAGGGAAGGATCAACCACAGGTTATCACCAGGTTTTGCCACATATCTGAGGGATACAGTGAATTTAAAGTTGCTATGTTGACCCTGAAAATGCTCTAGACACTGTGAGGAAGGATGTTTTGTGTTGCAAACCTTTGCCTATAATGCATAGCACACATTGGGATTGTACTCTACCCAATATCTGCCATGAATTTTATCTACCTCATCACTCCTAACTTTACTGATCTGATGAGTTATATTTTATGTTTGTGAAATATTAAATAATTTTCATCAAATCAAAAGAAAGTAAAATATGAATAAGACAAGGTGAGATTCTATGCCAAAATCTCCCTCCAAACTTTAGCATTAAAGTAGTCTTGATATTCATCAAATCCATTATTTGTTTCAATCCACAGAAATCGGAGACTTTCAAAAGATTGTTGGAACTTTTATTGATATGGTTGACTCAGTAGCCAAAGAAGTGGAAAAGGAAAAAATGAAAGTAGGTTGCAATAGCTAAGATTTTTTTTAAATAGTAGAGCTACCAGCATAGTACATAATAACACTCACAAAATTTTGTTCACTTTTCAATGAATGACATATACCGTTACACTCCTTAAAATTATTAAACCTTATTACCGGTGCTTTATTTTAAAATTAAAGTATTTATGCTTTTGTAATGTTATTCCTGCTCAAATATTTGAAGTTACAATGTACCTGCAATCACCAGCCCTCAATAGACAGAGCTGCTTTATTCAAGGAAAGTCTTGGCAGTGGGACCTAAACATCTAAATAATTTATAGTTTTATTTTCTTGTAATGGTTGAAAGGGGTATATCTTCTCAAACAAATAAGAACTCCAAAATTAAAGAGTTCTATAAAAATGACATGATGTTTGCTTTACCTGAAAATGAGTACCCTGAGGTAAACACTTTGATGACCTGATACACCACTGCAGTAATAATACCAAACCAGATCACGCAGTGTGTGTTTCAACATTCACTTTATATCTTTAATGTACCAAAACATGCATGAAATGAGCTTTCCCAGCATCATAAAAGAATGGTCATGGTTCTGTTTTATTAAATCCTTCAGGCGATTGGAGCCAGGAATTTGCTCAAGTCTATAGCTAAACAAAGAGAATCACAACAACAGCAGCTGCATGCCCTTATTACTGAGAAGAAAATGCAGTTAGAAAGGTAGATTATTAAATCTTATACGCATTAAAAAATATGTTATACATTCCTTGTCATGTGCTTTGATTTTGTGTTTATAAAAAACATGCAGGGTCAGTTCCTTAGAAAACAAAGGCTTTGACATTAGGGCATTTGTATATTCTCTGGGAAGAGGAAAGAGATAACAAAGGCTTTGACATTAGGTCATTTGTATAGTCTCTGGGAAGAGTGAAGAGATAAAGAAGGCTTTGACATTAGGGCATTTGTGTATTCTCTGGGGAAAGTAAAGTATTGTATTTTAAAATCATTTTTTCACCCCTACTTTTATATTTTTAAATGTCAATGGCTTACTCAAAGAGATAGCCACTACACTGAAGACAGTCATTTTCAATGATTAGTAGATATTTAACAGTATTTTTGTTCTCCGAAGATCATTAATTATTTTGTTCTTTCCAGTTGGCTCAGTTATTTTCTTAATGGACTCAAAAGGCTTTTACTTTAAGGGAAGCAACTCAGATTTTTTAATTTCAATTTAATTTTTTTTAAATTGCTTTTTAAGCTCCTTAAATTTTATAAATTATTGAAGCTAAATAAAGATGACAGTGCTAAAACCAGACACATTTTTATGTAAATTATTACATTAATTAATGACTAAGAAAGGAAATGATAAAAAAACAACTCAATTTCAGAAAAGCAAACACAAGATAGGTATATAGGTATAAAAATAACTGTTCAAAATTGCTTTTTGTTGAAAAATCCAAATGAAATAAATATATATAATTTCTTTCTTGAAATCTGTTCATTTTAAAATGAAATGTATAGTATGCATAGTATATTTTATGTATAGTAGCAACTGGCGGGAAGGGGTAAATATAAAATGTTTTTTAATTAAATGGATTATTTTGTTGTTTTTTTTATTTAGCAAATAAGATGCCATTGATCTGTGGCGATCCATAAATCTGTGAGGGTCCATTGATCTGTGACGATCCATAAATCTGTGAGGGTCCATTGATCTGTGGCGATCCATAAATCTGTGAGGGGCCCTTGATCTGTGACGGTCCATAGATCTATGAGGGTCCAAAGATCTGAGAGGGTCTATTGATCTGTAGGAGTCTATAGATCTATGAGGGTCCATACTTCTGTGAGGGTCCATAGATCTGTGAGGGTCCATAGATCTTTGAGGGTCCATAGATCTGAGAGAGTCCATTGATCTGTGAGAGTCCATAGATCTGAGAGAGTCCATTGATCTGTGAGGGTCCATATATCAGTGAGGGTCCATTAATTAAGGTGGCTTCATGTTAGAGTCAACACTGACTTTTTAAGTTTTTTCCTGCATGTTAACTTGAAATGAATAAAGTTATCAATGGTGAAACATGGGAGATTGGACATATTGTGAATATGAAACATGGGAGATGGGTCGTATTGTGAATGTGAAACATGGGAGATGGGACGTATTGTGAATATGAAACATGGGAGATGGGACGTATTGTGAATGTGAAACATGGGAGATTGGACATATTGTGAATATGAAACATGGGAGATGGGACGTATTGTGAATGTGAAACATGGGAGATGGGACGTATTGTGAATGTGAAACATGGGAGATGGGACGTATTGTGAAAATGAAACATGGGAGATGGGACGTATTGTGAATATGAAACATGGGAGACGGGACGTATTGTGAATATGAAACATGGGAGATGGGACGTATTGAGAATATGAAACATGGGAGATGGGATGTATTGTGAATATGAAACATGGGAGACGGGACGTATTGTGAATGTGAAACATGGGAGATGGGCCGTATTGTGAATGTGAAACATGGGAGATTGGACATATTGTGAATATGAAACATGGGAGATGGGACGTATTGTGAATGTGAAACATGGGAGATGGGATGTATTGTGAATATGAAACATGGGAGACGGGACGTATTGTGAATGTGAAACATGGGAGATGGGCCGTATTGTGAATGTGAAACATGGGAGATTGGACATATTGTGAATATGAAACATGGGAGATGGGACGTATTGTGAATGTGAAACATGGGAGATGGGACGTATTGTGAATATGAAACATGGGAGACGAGACGTATTGTAAATATGAAACATGGGACGTATTGTGAATATGAAACATGGGAGATGGGACGTATTGTGAATATGAAACATGGGAGACGGGACATATTGTGAATGTGAAACATGGGAGATGGGACGTATTGTGAATGTGAAACATGGGAGATGGGACGTATTGTGAATGTGAAACATGTATTTAAATGTTGACTAAAGGAATGGCAGTCGCATTGGCCTGCTTTGTGGCAAATCTTGACACAAATTTTGAAAGTCAAAGGCTGAGATTTCCCTAACACAAGCCTCGATGGAATCGCTTTCCAATGTGGTCCGCACATTTTTGGAAAAGGGGGGCTGGAAGGGAATTTTTGATCCTCATTCAAATAGTTTAGTTTCCTTTTATGTGTATTTTGTATACAAGGCAATATGTTTTTCATAAATAGGGGCATCAAAGTCATGGAATGGAAAAACTCATTCTACTCCACTGTTACCCAGACCCCTTTATCTACCCCCAGGAGTCACAACTCCATCCGCCCTTGATTCACTTAGGACACACCCGTTGCTTTAGTTTCATCCAGTGTTTTAAAGACATTTCATATTCGTATCTTTGCTTTCCAGGTTAAGAATACAGCATGATGCATTACTCAAAGAGGAAGCTGGCCAGAATGAATTTATTGAACAACTCATCTTGCAGAATTGATGCTGATATTGTGTCATAGTCATCTATTTCATTACATTATGGCTGCTCTTATACAAACTTTATTCCATTGCTCTCTAAACGTTTTTGAAACATTTGATGGTTTGAAAAACCACTAAGTAAATCTTATCTCATTGCAAACATTCAGAGACTGGGTAGGGTTGTGACAAATATCTCAAACAGTTCCCGAGCTTAAAAAATAAAATTTAAAAAAAAAATCATTTTTTCTGGCGCTATCTGTGATACGAATACATTGATGTTTCGCTTTAAAAAAAAATCATTTTCACGCTTAAGATGTAAATATGAATATTTTGATATTGTGTTGTAAATAAACAAAATAGAATATATGGCTTCAGTTTGTCTATAATCTTCATAGTTAATTGTTTGTCTATAATCTGTATAGTTAATTGTTTGTGAATGAAAGAAATTTAAGAGATTTAAAAAAATGTTCTACGATAAAATTGATTGACATTTGAATTATAGAACTTTTAAATTAAAAAAAACTTATTTTTAAAAAGTACCAATATAAATAAATCTCTGCAATTAATATTTGGTGCAATTAAAAGAGTCTAATTGAAAATATCTTCCATTTATTGTGCCAAGTTTACCAGAGGATTGACGACGCTCCTTCTTGGAAAATTGTGTATGGGGAAATTGTTTTCTGTAGCAAATAATAATTTAACGCAATTATAAAGATTATATTTTATTTCCTCCTTTAAAGCTCGCCGTTTCTGCTTAGTCAAACGCAACGGACAAATTTACTGAAGGTTGGTACAAAAGAATGTGATCGGTGCAAAGCAATAATTTGTAATGGTTCCACACAGTTTTATGTACATCCACTTCTAATTCTAAAGTCTGTTTAAGTTATTGGTAATCTCAATTCATGTTAGTCAAGTTGCAAACAGGTAGCCCTAAAATGTCATAATATTTTTAATGCAAAATCTGACAGTTGAGTTTATACATTTGTGGTACGTGTGTATTTAGTTGTGAAGATGTTTGGAAGTCTTAGTTTGAATTTAGCATGTGCCAGGCTTATGTATTTCAACTAGCCATTTTCAATGAGCACTTCTTGCAACATACAAATGACCAACAAGCCACACGCAGATTACTTCACTTCAATGTTTATTTAAAAGTGTTCCAGATACTGATCTATGCAGTCACATTACTAATTGGTACTAAAAGTTTGTATAGCGTCACTGTTTCAATTTAAAAAAAAAAAATAGTAGAAGAAGCTACGGGGACTAAATGAAATAAAAAATAATGATGTTCTTTTATTGTCCTTTTAAATACTCGCAAAACTTGACATGTGCAATATACACTCACACATTTATCACTGTAGGGACTGCAAAATCAGCCCTACAAGCTATAGTTAGATAATTTAAAAAAAAAAAATAAGTTTGCATTGACATGAGATCCTAAAATATCAAATCAAACCTTCGAAACGCATACATAGCCCGTCACACGAAACTCATTCCCCATCACACGAAACACATCGCCCATCACACGAAACACATTGCCCATCACACGAACCGATTTCCCAGCACACGAAACTCATTGCCCATCCCACGAAACACATCGCCCATCAAACGAAACACATCGCCCATCACACGAAACACATTGCCCATCACACGAACCGATTTCCCAGCACACGAAACTCATTTCCCATCCCACGAAACACATCGCCCATCACATGAAACACATCGCCCATCACACGAAAAACATTGCCCATCACACAAACTGATTTCCCATTACACGAAACTCATTGCCCATCCCACGGAACTCATTGCCCATCACACAAACTCACTTCCCATTACACGAAACTTATTTCCCATCACACGAAACTCATCGCTACAATGTATGGAGACATAGACTACGAATAACATTGAGCAGCATGTCCACACGGACGGGACTGGACCTCTCGGTTGACCAGAGACTCTCATGGCCTGGCCCCACGGAAACTTACTCTTGTCACAGGAGTTCTTGGTGATCAAGTTCGCAACGATGTTGTAACTCTCAAGGCATTTGCTGAAATAAAAATAGGAGAAGGAAGGGACAAATTTTAACGTTGAGAATAGATACAGGGATTCCCAAACTTTTCTATATTCCGCTCCTCTATCCATCTTCTAACCGTCTCCAACTCTCATTCTAAAACCTTCTGCTACTCCGCCAAACGTGTAAGATTGGATGAGGGTTGACTTAAGGACTTAATGAGGTTAAATGGCATGTTTCGGTGTGACAAGACGTAGCCATGCCGTCTCTCTTAACTCCAAGAGGGATGGAGGGATTTGAACCCGAAACACGACTTGGTCGGGTCTGACGCTATAGCAGGACATGGGCATTAAAACGTTGTAGAGCTTTCTTGTCTTGCGGCACACAAACCAACCCGATCCCCGATTTTCACCATTTATATAATCGCGCCCCACCCCCACTCCCCCAAAAACTCTCCCAAAAAAAACCCATTCCCCCCCCCCCAACCTCGTGGTGGCGAAAGCATCCCAGATTTGGAAACAGGCTTTTAGACTGTGGCGTAAATGTTTGGCGTCTTAGTGTGGGGGTGTCGGCCACAAAGACTGGTAGTTAAGAAACGTTTTTAGATCCTGAACGAACGTAACATTTTTTCATAACAGCAATAGACTGTGGCCCCAACATCGAGTACTGTCACCCTAAATAAACCCAACTGAACCTAAGCAACTGAACTGTAGTTTCTATAGGCTCCACGGGATACGTACTAAAAATACCTGGAAAACTAAGTATTTTCTTGAAAAAAAAAAAAAAAGTGAAAATAATTCCTCGAACTTTCCTAGAGAGTGTGGTTGGATCGCATTATAGATTACGGTAACTTATAATACATATAGTTTTCTCAAATGCTTTGGAATTCTAGGGTATCGTAGAAACATTTCCATTTTTACCAACTCACCTTCCAAGTTTGGCAAGCTCGAAGTCCATGATAAGGGCGTAACTCTGTTTACAAGCGACGAATAATGTTTTCATGCATGCGGTGAAAGGGGCCAGAACTCTTGAAAAAAAAAAAAAAAAAAAAAAAAAAATTAAAAAAATCTTTGCAGAGTTTGTTTTTGTTTGTTTGTTTAGATCAGCGGTTCTCAAATTGTGGGTCGCGACCCCTTAGGCGGGTCGAACGACTCTTACACAGGGGTCGCCTAAGACCATTGGAAAACATATATTTATGAAGAAGCAACGAACATGATCTAATGGTTTGGGGTCACCACAACATGAGTGAATGTATTGAAGGATCGTTGCATTACGAAGTTTGAGAACCATTGGTTTAGATAGTGTTTCCCAACCTTTTTTGTGCTATGCCCCACCTAAGCCTTTTTAAATTTCGTATGCCCCCCCCCTCCCACTATGTATCATATAAATATTTTTTAATATATTTTTTTTAAAGCTAGGGTTGTTCACTGAAGAAACTTCAATGATAGGTTTTAGGAAGAAATCACTAGGGCGATTGGTGAGGAAACATAGTAAGTGAATTTCAAAACAAAAATGGAGAACTTAAATTCAAGCACAAAATAATTTTATTGAAAGACTTTTCTATATTATTTTATTTATTAGTAAGTATTAATATTTAAATTTAGCGAGATGTATATGCTCGATGCTTGCTGTAAAGAGAATTTGGTTAGGTTCTAATTTAATTAGCTGCACTCTCAAGTCTCCCCACTGTGTTATATCCGGCCGATTTTGTTGTTGGTTTTGCCTCAAATCATTCATGGCACTATATCCACATTTAGCTAAATATAAAGATGGAAACGGTAGCAATAGTTTTCTTGCACATTTAGTTATTTGGCTTATGTTTCTTCACACAGCCGCCATGACATCGCTCCTTTTATATTAAATAAAGTTTTAACTAACTCATCATTTTGCATTTCTGCGAGTTCTTCTTGATATTGCATATTTGAAATATCAAACAACTCCACTAACAATGGCTGCATCATCCAAGATGGAAAATCAATTTGTTTCAAATCAGAAAATCTTTCTTTTAAATCAGCCGATAGAATTTTCAGATGATCGACAATAACAAGCATTGCGTTACCAGTCACTTCACATTTTTGGGGGAATAAAACTTTTCAAAATTTTTGTGGTAAATATTATTCTGACATAACTCAATAAAGGTAATCAAACCAAATATCTTCGCGTCTGCATGAACTAGAGTTTTATTTGTCCCTGAAGTTAGTTGTTTAATATATTTAGTTTTTCAAAGATATCGGCTATATAAATCACAAATGCCTTAACATCGACCGTTAACAGATACTTCATTTCAGGTTTGTCACTTTAAAAAATCGCAAGAGAATCAAATAGTTTTTTCAAGACATTCCCTTTCGAAAGCCATCTTACTTCAAAGTGCAGAGTCGGCATTTTGTTCTTCACAAAATAGCTAGAAGAGGCGTTCACATTTGGCCTTAGCTTTATTAGCGTTAATTCACTTTAGAACTGAATTTAGTGCTTCATTTAGAACACGCGAAATGTTTGTAGCTACTAACTAAATATAAATAACACAATGCGTTTCTAGATTCTCATCTTTCTTCAATTTTAGGCAGCCATTGTTCTTGCCTATCATATTAAGAGCACTATCTGTAGCACACTTTATATTTTTCATTGGTATATTATTGACAGCTGTCATGGGCGCCCGCAGGTAGGGGCAATGTGGGGCACTTGCCCCCCCCCCCGCCTCCCCGGATTGATTGGATAAAATTTTTTTAGACAAAAATAGAAAAAAAATGTATTAAAGTAAAGAGAAAATAAAGAGAAAGTAACTAAGCTGATGTCCTGTACGTTCGTTCACCATACAAATACGCTAAAGTCGATTAAAACTATATTAAAACATTACTAAACATTGTTTCCCCCCCCCCTGGAAAGTTAATCGATTTTTTTGCCCCCCCCCCTAGAATGTTTTCTGCGGGCGCCCATGACAGCTATGTAATTGTTCAGCTTATATTATATATATCTTTGACGATAGTGGTGCTTTCTAATGCTTTACAGAACAACACTTCTTCTGCAAAATATCCTTTATCAATACATCTTCAAGTTATCGATACAGCCTCACTGTCTCTCAACGTTGATTAATTCATCTGCCCCGAGAATTTTCTTGTTTTCAGTATTTCAACAAGTTGTATTTCAATATCTTCATTCATTTCGTCTGTTCTTCTGCTAAAAGCATTGTTACTGAGTGGCACAGCTTTCTGCTAAAAGCATTGTTACTGAGTGGCACAGCTTTCTGCTAAAAGCATTGTTACTGAGTGGCACAGCTTTCTGCTAAAAGCATTGTTACTGAGTGGCACAGCTTTCTGCTAAAAGCATTGTTACTGAGTGGCACAGCTTTCTGCTAAAAGCATT